ACAACTGTAATTCCCACATTAAACCCTTTGATTTACAGCCTGAGGAATAAAGAAGTGAAAGAAGTACTAATCAGAGTGGTGGCTGTGTTGATGAAGAAATAAAGATTTTCTTGTCCATTAATGTACCTTATTTCCATTTTTGGTGGTTTCTAATGGTTTACTACCTCAGGGGAAACTGCAGACTCAAAGATCTCTTTCACAACTGTAAATATTTTGCATTTATTCTTTGCTTCAGAAGCAAATTATTTCAAATTTCTACCTCAATTTCTTCCTTAAGAGTCCAATATATACATGAGATATCAGAACAATTCCCATGTCTAACTCAGGTATCCAGGCTGGAATTCCTCACTTCCATTACAGGAGTTCACCTCACCCTCTCACTGAAGAATTACTGTTTTACAGAGGACTTTCCAGGCTAAGCATACACTAATTGACAGGGACTACATGTAGCCGTGCAAAGGGATTTTAACCCTTTAAGTGCAGCAGAAATAAACATGGTTGTCTTTCAGGACAGAAAGAAAGAGCCAAGTTTATTCAGGAACACACTTGGTTTTATAGCAGGACTGCAACTCCCAGAGTAGAGAAAAGGAGATTGGTTCAGAGAGAAGACACCCCATTCCCAGGGCCTGGGCACACACCACAACAGGGGTTCTATCTTGTTATTAATTCCTTTTTATTTTGACCAAATTATCACCCTGGAAGAAATTCTCCCTAGCCTTGAGCTGGACCAGCTTATCGGCTGGGAACAGAGCTGAGAAGCTCCAGCCTGGAATATTTTTCAGGATGTAATTTCTTGCTTTCTCAATATGTGTCCCTACAACTATGCTTTGCCTTTTTTTCTTCCTTATTATATGTTTTCCATTCCTTCCTGGAAAAGAGATCCACTGAATGAAAGTGATAAGGAAATTAGTTCACTTCTTTCAGAGCCTTGTGTTTTCCATTTAAGGTGTGGGGAAAGCAAAGGAAAGGAAGATTAACTGATGGTCATTCCTGATTTCCAGCATTTGTTACAGTGCAGGGCCCACAGCCTCCAAGCACTGCGGGGTCTGAGCCATGGCATGAGAGCACTCTGCAAGTCTCAGCTGGAGAAATTCATCCAGGCATGGAAAGAAGAATTTCCAGAGGATTAGCTCATACCTGCAAGGGCACACAGAGAGAAGGGCTGCTACAACCTAGGAGTATTTATTTGGGAGGGTTTTGAAGTTTATTCTGGCTAGAAGAGATGCTCTGGCTTGGTGAATAGCCCAGGCCTGAGCCTGCAACATTCAAACTGTGCTTTCCACACCGAGGGCAAGCAAAAGAAATCTTCCTTAGCAATGTGGCCATACTGACCTTTGAGGGCTGTCTCTTTTTCATCTTAGTTACCTGGCCATAAAGGCAGTAAGGGGCAGGATAATTGAGGATAATGTTCTCTTTTTTTGTTTAGTTTGCTTGTAAAAGAGAAAGGCAACGTGCGTTATCTCAGGATGAAGTCATTGCCTGACTTCAGAAGATTCACAACAACAAGTTAATGACAAAGTGATTAATTGCATTTGGAAATGTTGTTTGCTTAGACTCCTCTAGGGAACTTAACTTGTCTCTGTATTGTTGAAACTCTTTTTTCTTCATAATTAGAACACTGGAGAAAGAGTTAATGAAACTTATTTACATTTCGACAGACTTTTCTTCTGGGAGCTGATCTACTGTTGCCTCTGTAAAAACAGAGAATTTTTTTCTTCTTTTATTACTTGGAAAGGTAATACTGAAAGAAGCATTTCTTTTAAAAAGTTTAATTACTTTAGTGTAATAACAGTAGCGTTAATCACTTTAAGGGACATTGCATTCCAAATGGTTAAAGCTTTTAGTTTTGCCTCTTTTTAAGATGTTTCAGACTCTGGTCCAAGGAGAAAGAGACATCCAAAATCATTCATCCATTTGGAATAAACCTTTTCTATACCTGCTGCAATGCCCTCCCACCAAACACTATCAGCAACTTTCTGTTTTTCCTGAATTCATCTCTTCTGTCTCCTGTTTCCACATGCCACATGTGCATGAAAGATACCTCAAATAAAAACTGATGTGGTAGAAAACATGACAGGTATTTTGCTGGTGTAAATCACAATCACTGATTTTTGGTCTCTAAGAAGCACAGCCATCAGTTTTGCTAGAACTGAGCTCACACTTACACCATCCTCTCTCTATAAAAAAGGGAAGTTCTGGTTAAATGATGCCATTCAGTGGATCACAGCTACACAAATAGGCAGGGCTGAAATTTGTGCCTGGGTTCATCTCCCCAATATGTGAACTACTGATTCTAGCATTTTTATGGAATAATGCATTTTTTAAAAATCATGTGATTTATCATTTTATTTTCTTTCTATTAATTACTTTCAGAAGTCTGTGTGAAATGATATTTAATAACTAATTCATTCACTTTTTCTGGCTTAAATTGGTACTGATTTAAATATCTGTCTTGATATGGTCTGCTGAGCTCTTGACATGTTGCCACAGTTTATGGTTCTGTCAAATCCCCTCTTGTCATGGGTGCATTGATCTCCTTAAAGCAGCTCCAACAAAACAGCTAAAATAGTCATTACATGTGTCTTGCTGGTGCAGTACTTGATTCTTCACTCTAGAACCACATAATGAAGTTTCAGCATTGTTGGAATGTGCTGCTTCTTTAATTCAGCTCATGGCATTAAAGGTCAGTGTTGAGTTTAATTTTTTATTGGCATT